CTAGGGCTGCTCAGGTAAAGAATACCTGCTGTCCCCTTGCCACCACGCAGGGCAGTACTCACCAGGTGGGATCCCAAAGCTGTCCACCACTGCCTCCACCAGCCCCAGCACGTAGAGGGCACTGCCACAAACATTGGCCAGAAAAAACATGATCCCGATGCTGCCCCCAAACTCTGGGCCCAAGGCACGGCTGATCATATCTTGCTCGAGTCAAGGGAAGATGTCAGCAGCACAAACCACCATCAGATACTCCCACCCCTCTCTCCCAGGCCAGCAGCATCCCAGCCTCAGCATGGCACCCCAAGGCCACTGGGGAGTCACTCAGCTTTGTCCCACATGCCCTGTCCCAGCAGCACCCACAGCAAAGGATACAGTAGGCTCCTCCAGCATCCAGTGCCCCGTTGGTGGCAATGGCACACACAGACAGCACCGTCATGCCAATGATGAAATATGCCACTGCGAACATGGCCAGGGCCTGGTACAACCCAGCATGACCCACCACGAACCCTGCCGAGGATGGGAGAGGCCAGCGTGCCCATTAGCTGAGCATGGACAACCTGCAGGACGGAGTCCCTGGGCACTGCCACCACGCAGACTTCACCCCACTGAGGCACATGGCCACTCCCATCCCTGTGCCCACAGCTTCCCCCAGGACCTGCCAGCCCTCTCCATTCCAGGATGAGGATGCTTCCACCTCCCACCCACAGCAGCACCCACCAGTGTCTCCCTCCCTCAGGGTATCTCCATTTTCCACCCGTGCCTGACCCAGGTGTGCCCAAAATCCAAACAAACAGGGAAGGGGCTGTGCTGCTGGGACCCCCGTGTCCTGCTGCCCCCCTTGTTCCCCAGAGCGGGGAGTCAGGAGCTCCGCACAGGGATCCCGTAGCTGCCCCGCTTGCCTACAGCACAGCAGGAAGTAGAAGCAGTGCGGGTGTCCCTGCCAGCCACGGCACCACTCCCAGGGGTGTGGGTGGGTGTTCCGGCAGAGAGGGGGCCCAGAGCCCCCCCGGCCCTGCCAGGGGTGATGGCAGCGATCCCAATCCGGCTGGCGACACTGCGGGCAGGAAGGGGATGCCCGTGGCTGTGGGCCATGCCCTATCTCAGCCACAAGCCAGGCCGCGGATGTGCCCGCGGGAGAGACGAGGGGGGTGACGGGGCACCGGCACCACAAGGAGCCCTTGGGCGACAGGCTGGGTTTGAGGGCACCAGAGAGGTTTGTGGTCTCCAGAGAGCCGGGGGGCATCCGAGTGCCAAATCTGAGGGTGGGTGGGAGTGTTGGTGGAAATAAAGGGATGCCCCAAAAGCACTGTGGGCCTAAGTAGGAAAGGCTGCTAACCCAGGAGATCTGGGGAGCATGTGAGGTGTGGAGTTGACAGGGAGAGCCTTGGACCCCCAGAGTGGGAAAGTTCCTCTTCGGGGCAGCTTTCCTTCCCCCGCACCCGACACCTCCCCTGCAGCCCCGGGTCCCCGGGTAACGCAGCCCCGGGCAGGGGGAGTCAGAGCCTGTATGAAGATCCCAAGCAGGGGAGTGGGAAAGGGGTGAATAATGACAGGGATCGCCGTGCCCCCAGCTTGGGGGTCTCCCAGACAGGGAATGCTCTCAAGGCCCCCCCTATGGCCCGGCGGGGCCCCCGGCACGCAGCCAACTCCCGCCCTGGGCTTTCCGTGGGCGGAAAGCGAAAGAGGAAAAGCTTTTCCCGTTCCCGGACCAGAGCAAACACTGCCTGCCCCGGGCCATGCTGGGGCACCTATCCCCTGCAGGCCCCCCAAAAGGCTGCCAGCCACCCCGGGCCATGCCCATCCTGCCCCCTGCGTCTCCCAGGTGTCACAGTAACAGACTCATAACCAAACTGGGGGCAGACTGGGAAACAATGTGTGTTCTTTGCACACACGCAGAGGGGCAGCTGAGTATCTGCTGGGGGACACCAGGGTTTTGCCCTTGGGATGGATGGGATGCAAGAGAGAACTGGGGTGCTGGAGCCTGGCACTGGAGGATGCCTGGGAAGCAGCGGGTCCCAGCACTAGGGGACAGGTGGACATGAGGACACTGGACTCCCGTTTAGGGAAGGGACTGGGAAGACACAGGACTTCTACTCCCGGAACACCAGGGTTTTGAACTAGGGTCCCTTACATGGGTCCCCTAAGGTCCTAATTGGGTTCCTGTACTGCAGGTCCCTTTCCCTGGCTCCTGAGACCCAAACCCCCAGACCAGTGGGGTCAGGTGGGGACACACAGCACTGGGACCCCAGGCCGGGCTGGAACTGAGCAGGCAGGGGAAAGGCAGGGGGGGCCCAGACTGTGGGCACTGGGGTACGCACTGGAGGGGAGCACTGGGACTGCAGCAGAGACGGAGCCCAGGAGAGGGCACTGGGAGGGCACTGCCGACCCAGACCGGGTGGCTCGGGGCTCCAGAGGCCGGATCCCCGGGATTAGACGGGGGCCGGGCTGGGGGTACCAGGCAGAGCTGGTGACTCTCGAGGGGCCCCGGCCGCGGCCGGGAGCGGGGGGTGCCCCGAGGGCGGCGGCACTCACCGAGGCGCAGGAAGAGGACGACGCTGAACATGGAGAGCAGCGTGGGCACCACAACGCCCAGGAATGTGGGCAGCTTGCGGGGGGCGGCGGCGGCCCGGCCGCGCTCCCGGCCCCGCTCCTCCTCGGCTGAGCCGCCACATAGGCGGTACGTGAGCAGCGCGCTCCGCTCCGAGGTCGCCATGGCCTGGCCCGGCCCGGCCCGGCTCGGGCCCCGCCGATCCCGAAAAGCGTCCGGTCCCGGTCCCGGCCCCGGCCCCGGCGGCCCCGCCCGCCGACCCGGTCCCGACCCGCCGGGCCCCGCCCCGCCCACGGCCCCGCCCACAGCTCTCCACGCCCCTTTCGGCCAGCCCCGCCCCATTGATGGCCCCGCCCCCTGTTAGCCCCCATCGAGGCCCCGCCCCACCGTGCACTCTGGCCCCGCCCCTTTACTGGCCCCGCCCACAGCCCCCCTCTTGTCACGGCCCCGGCCCCAAAATGCTCTCCCATAGTGATCCCCTCCGCCGCGCCCCAAGCCCCACCCCAACACCCCCACAGTGACTTCCCCCCCAGCCCTCGGCCTTTCCGGGGTCTCCCCACTCTGGACACTGGGACTGTTCCCCCACTCGCGTCCTCCGTACTCGCCCCACTCCTCCTCCCACCCCAAAACGCGCCCCCTGCATCGCCACGCACCCCCTGTCCCCGACCCCCCAGCGGGCAGCACCTGATACCGCCCCGGGCACCCCCGGGAGCTCCGGTACAGCCCCCGCCGATGGCCGCTCCCCGCCCCGCGGCGCTGCCGGCCGGGCTCGGCTGCTCGCGCCAATTACCGGACAATGGGGGCCCGGGGGCACCGTCCCCCCCTGCCCGCTGCCAGGGCTGGGATCTGCCCGAGCCCCGGGGTCCCACTGCCGCCGCTGCCCGGGGCGGCCGAGCGCCTCGCCAATTAGGTTAATGGGGTTGGCACCGGCACCGGGAGCGGGGAGCACGGTGCGGCCGGGGGCGAACACCACTCCGGCCTCAAGTACCCGCGTGGGCGCCGATTGCGGTCAGCAGAGCGATTGGACCCCCCCGCGTGTCGCTGGTGGAGGGGGATCCCTGCGGGGACACCGGGATGGGGCGGGAGAGCGCTCCCCTGTGTGCCGTGGTGCTGTGTCCCCCCACTCGGCCCCGCCGTCCCCCGTGGGGCGGAGGCACAGCGTGCCCCCGCGGCCGAGGTGGGAGCCCGCGGGGTCGGGGCTTTCATCTGCGGCGGGCCTGTCGCCGTGCCAGCCGCGGGCAGCCCGTGCCTTTGATGTGCCACTGAAGCGGCATTGTCCCGGCCCCGCTGGCACCATCGCGGCCGGGAGGACCAGGGGGAGCGCGGGCACGGAGCCGCTCGTGCCCCTAATGGGGACGAGCACCCCCCGGACTCGAAATGGGGATGAGGACACGGGCACCTGCTGCACTTGCGGGAGGCCGAGATCAGGGCCTGGGTACCCCGTATGGAGTGGAGATTTAAACTCGGACACCCCCTGTTCCCCAGCGGATATGAGGACAAGACACCCCCTAGCAAAGGCAGAGATCTGGCCACGGGCACCCATCTCTCCCTCCTAGCAAAGATGAGCACCCCACAAATGGACATGGGACTCAGAAACCCCAGTTCCTTTTACAGGGACAGAGGTGGGGACACGGGCATCTGCTGCACCCTGACGAGGTGATGGAGATGCAGGTGCACTCTTTCACCGAAGGAGCTGCGGCTGGGCTCGTGGGCGCAGGAGGGTGGCAAATGGGGCAAGGCAGTGGCATCCCAAAATGTGGTGCCAGTGACCAGCCGAGCGGCAGGCACGTAGAAGACTGTCCAGCTGGGCTGGCGAGTGCAGCCCTCCCATCCCTGGGTCCAAAACTGCCCCCAACCTGGGCCCACTGCTGAAGAGAGCAAGAAGAAGGACAGCCGGTGACACTGTCCCACCTGCCCCTCGCGGGGCACGTCCTCCTTCCTGCACCCCAGGCAGGACAGGGGGATACTGCAGCGGGGGGCACAGAGGGGTATCCCCGGGGGCAGCCGCTGCTCAGCACGGGGGTGCAGTGCCCTTACGCGGGGCGATCTGTTCAGCCAGGGCTGGGCTGGCACAGAGAGCGGGGACCCCCCACCCCGGACACCCCCCCTTCCTTTCCCTTCCCTTCCCCCGCCTTGTCCGCTCGGCCGCTCCCGGCCCGCTGCCCGCCTTTGAAAGCGCCGGCGGGGCTCCCACGCCCAGCCCGGGCCCCCCGCGCCCGCAGCCGCCGGTGCGTTCCCACCCGCCCGGGGCCCGCAGGAGGGACGGTGGCGCGGCCGGGGCTTGGCGTGAAAATGATCAAGGGCCGCGGGCAGCGCCGGAGCGCAGCGCCCGTCTGATGCTGCCCGCCCGGAGGCCTCGTCGAACAAAGGCGGCATTGAGGCCCCGGCTGCGCCCCCCCCGCGCCCCCCGCCCCGAGCTGGCATCTTGGCGCGACATTAATGAACTCGCCTGTTTGTGCTCCCCCGGCCCCTCTCTCCTCCCACCGCCCGGGGGGCACCGTATATATATCCATCCCTCCTTGCCTGCCTCGGGCATTTCGGGGGTTCCCCCCTTTGCCCCCCTTTGCCCGCCCGGGGATGGAGCAAAGAGGGAAGAGGACACCGGACGGTCTTCTCGGGGTCCGGCTGGTCCCCCCCGTGCTTTTGCTGCCGCTGCTGCAGCTGGTGGGGGGGGCTCCCTCGGGCCAGAGGCTGTACCCCATGCCGGCCAGCATCCTGCAAGGTCAGTGGGGCACAGGGACGGGGGCGTCTTTGAGGGAGAATTTGGCTGCAGATGGGGTGGCTGTAGGAGACGAGACCCTTGGGTTCACTCTCAGGTAGGGTGGCAGCACAAGCAGGATGGCCAGGTCCTTGTCAAAACCCCCTAAAACCTGGGGCATGCCTGCGCTGCCTGGACTGAGTGTCAAGTGCTGCAAGTGGCACTAAGGGACACAGGATTCAGGGAGTGCTGTGGTTTATGCCCTGCGGCACCAGCACTTCCTCTGGCCCTAGTACCTGTGCCACTCCCAGGGGACAATCTGCTAGGACATGGCCAGCAGGAAGGTGGCTCTGCGTGGGTACAGGTGGTCACAGGGGCACACGGGGGGACATACACGTAGGGCAGGCACAGGGCACACACATGGGCACATGCAGGAACATGCCGACACGGGCACACAGATCTTGGTACACACCAAGTGTGCACTCAAAAGTGTACAAGAGGCACACATGTGGGCACACCTGCCTGGGTTCACACTCTGTCTCCATGTAAAACAGGAACACAGAGACCTGGGCAAACACCCAGGTGTGCATGTGCCAGCTCCAGCAGGGAGGTGACACTTCACTCTAGGCAGTGTCAAAGGATGACAGGCCGTGCCCAGCCCAACACTCACTGTGGCAATAGCAGGGCGCAGGCACCAGGCAGACTGGGGGCACCCCATGGCTGTGGTGGGAGGCAACGGTGGGGCTCTGGGGGTCTGAGCACCCTGTGTGTGCCCATCAGCACTGTCAAGCCGGGGGACGCTGGTGCTGGAGGCGGCACTGAGGAGCGCTCTGCTGGCACTGGAGCGGGCCCTGTCCGAGCAGCAGCGGCAGCGGGGTGCCTGCGGGCTCTGTGCCCCCTGCCTCTTCCCACCCTGTGCCAACATCACCGGCCGCTGCCCACGTGAGTCATGACCCCGTTACCCCACTGCCCTGCCCTGTCCCCAGGAGACCCTACCCAAATAGAACCCAGGATCCCCAGCCAAGCGCAGCCCAGGGGTCTTATCCAAACACCATCCTCTGCCCAGAAGATCCTACCAAAACCTGCACCCATACCTGGAGACTCTACCCAAATGTTTGGATGCCTACATCGTCCCCTAGAAATCCTATCAAAATGATATCCCAAGATCTTACCCAAACCATACTCATCCCCTACAGGCTTAACCTACAGGCTTTTACCGAAATAGTGCCCAGACTCCTGAAATATATCCCTAACTGCTAACGACCCTGCTCAAGCAGTTCCCATCGTATCTAGATCTTACCCAATCACCTGGAGCCCTATCCAAATCATTGCCTGGTCCCTTGTGAACTTTTCAGATATTGCCCAAAAAATGTACCCCAGTACCCAGATGACCCTACCAAAACATGCTGACTCCACAGCCTATCATGCTCCCTTCCCACCCATCCCAAAGCAGAGACGGGTGGCCTGGGCAGAGGAGCACAGGGAGGACACTATGATGCCCACAGCCCTGCTGTCCTTGCAGCACCAGCTGTGCCCCCTGCCATGCCCCCCAGCTGCCAGGCCCTGCTGGATGCGCAGGCACTGCCCGAGCTGCCCCAGCGCAACTGGGCACTGAGCCAGGCCTGTGCCCCGTACCAGCGCCTGTGCCCACCTGAGGGGGCCCTGCACACCTGCACCCCGCTCAGCGCCCAGCTCTGCCGCCACCGCCTCCAGGAGTGCCGTGAGTGGGCACCCGCACCCCTCCCCAGCTCCTCCCAGAGATGGGAGACCCTACAATAACAAACGGGGTATCCCATGGGGATGCTTCAAAGGGATATGGGGTGAGGTGTTGGCATGGAGTGGGGAGATGGTGGAGGTGGGGGTATGCTAGAACGATAAGGTGATGGATGGAAGTCTGAGAGATGGATCTGGGAAGGGAATTGGAGATTTGGGGTATGGAGGTATTTGGAGCGATGAGCAAATTGGGCTGGGCTGGGACAATGAAGGGCAATGAACAAACTGTGGTGGGAGAAGTGGGCAAGGAGAGACTAGGGGTACTGAGTCACTGGGGGTGATGAGCAACCCTGGGGTAGTACAGGGATGTTTGTTCGGACTGATGGGACTCTGGGGGCACTGAAAGAATCTGGAGCGACTTGTTGACAGCAGGGCTGTGGTGGTGACATCGCGGGGGAGTGTCCCCACATGCCATGACATCCTGTCCCTGCAGAGACGGGGGCCGCAGCCCCGAGTCCTGACGCAGCAGCGGAGGAGGCGATGCCAGGTGAGCCGGGGCGGCCCCGCCGTGCCCACGCCACCCCCTCAGCACGCCGGCGAGCGCCCCCGGGCCCCGGCCGCCTGCTGGGCCGGGGGGCAGAGGTTAGCGTCGGCAGCTGCCGGGCTGCGGGGTGCCCCCGGCCCTCCGCCCGCTCGCCTCCGTGAGCACGATGAGGCTTGACAGCGCGCCCGACGCGCCTCATGCCCCACCGCCCCCTCCACCTGCCGCGGCCATCCCCCGCCACCCGAGCCCACCTGGGAGATGGGATGTCCAGCAGCCGGCCTGCAGGACGCCCCCCTCATCCCGACTTTGTCCCCCAGGGAGCTGTGGGCGCCGCGGGGTCCTACAAGGCAACGGCACAGCCCCCCGAGGAAGGATCATGGGCGGCAGCGTGGCCCCGCGGGGCGCTTGGCCCTGGCTGGTGTCGGTGCGGCTGCACGGGGAGCTGATGTGCGGAGGGGTGCTGGTGGGGCGCTCCTGGGTCCTCACGGCGGCACACTGCTTCGGCGGGTATGGTGGGGGCACGGCAGTACGGGGATGATGCCCTGCAGAGACGGGCACGGGGAACAGCCATCACCCCCGTAACTGGCTGTCCCCCACCCCGCCAGGAACCGGAACGAGCTGGCGTGGACAGTGGTGGTGGGCGACCACGAGCTGGGCAAGCCGGGAGCGGGCAAGCGGGCAGTGCCCGTCCGGCGCATCCTGCCTCACCCTAAGGTCGGTGGAGGTGGGCACCACCCCCACCTCCCTGTGCGTGCCCCAGGAGCCCCCACTGACATCCCCACATCTCCTTCCAGTTTAACCCCAAGACGTTTCACGGGGACCTGGCGCTGCTGGAGCTGGCAGTGCCGCTGGCTCCATCACCCACCGTCAGCCCCGTGTGCCTTCCCAGCGGCTCCGCGGAGCCCAGCCCCGGCACCCCCTGCTACATCGCGGGCTGGGGCTCCCTCTACGAAGGTAAGAGACTCCGTCGGGTGTTCCCCTCTGTGCCCTCTCTGGTGCCCAGCCCCAGCGCACCGAGGCAAGGCAGGGGGATGTGAAAGAGAGGGAGATGTCCGGGCACAGGGGACCCTGTAACAGGTACCTTGCCCGGCAGAGGGACCACCAGCCGACGTGGTGATGGAGGCACAGGTGCCCCTGCTCAGCCAGGAGACGTGCCGGGGTGCCCTGGGCAAGGACCTTCTCACCAGTGCCATGTTCTGTGCTGGGTATTTGTCTGGAGGCATCGACTCCTGCCAGGTAACACCGTGCCTGAGGGATTGTCAGCACCGCACTTCAAAATCCCTTCACACAGTGACAGACACGCACACAGCACATCAGTAATGCCTGGGGTCCCAGCCCAGCCCAGTGCACCGGCATTTCCCCTGCAGGGCGACTCAGGGGGCCCGCTGGCGTGCGAGGACCCCACTTCACACCACTTTGTCCTCTATGGTATCACCTCGTGGGGTGACGGCTGCGGCGAGCGGGGCAAACCAGGAGTCTACACCCGTGTCACTGCCTTCACGGACTGGCTGAGTCTGCAGATGGACTGTGAGTGCTGCTGGCCGCACCGCAGGGGCACGGAGATGCCCAGGGGGTTTTCAGCACTCACGGCGGCGCCGGTTCTCTCACAGCTGCCCCTGGCAGCCGAGAACCGAGCTGCTTCGACCTGCTGGCCGTGGCACAGCTGCCCCCTGAGCAGCAGCCCCCGGAGCGCGCCCGTCTCTGCGCCTTCTACGCCGGGTCCTGTCGGGCACCTCAGGGCCGGGCCACCTGTGCCCGTCTGGCCGAGGAGACCTGCCATGCCAGGACAAGAAGATGTGGTGAGCCGGGGGTCATGTCAGGGCTAGAGCGTAGGGAGGGACCCCATTTCTGGCGTGGGACCAGGGTCACGTTTCTCCCTCTATGCCCACAGAGCTGCACTCCTATGCCCAGACCTTGGTGGATCTCTTGCAGCGGGCTGGGGACTTCATCCGAAACCAGTTTGATTTCTCCTTCCTCACCCGCACTCTGCCCCAGCTCCTGGGCAAGATCTACGGGCACTTCTTCCCTCCCCGTGTCCGCAGGGATGCCCCAGGTACTCTCCCAGGCTGGACCACCCCATACCCACTTGGGTCCTCCCCTGTGCCGGTGGCTGGAGCACCAGCAGCCTGCCCTGGCTTCCCAACAGGGGCTCCTCTATCCCTTGTCCTGTTCTTTTCTTGTCCCCACAGGCCTGTCTGTGGCAGGGGGCAAATCCAGCCCCACAGTGGGACCCCAGAGACCCCTCAGCAGGTGAGGCAAGGTGGGCCATGGGATGAGGGGCTAAAGAGGCTGGGGAGGTGGTTGACATACTGGTGGCCACTGACATGCCATTTTGGGGACAGCCTGAAGCATTGGGATCCTCTTCCAGCTGCTACCAGGGCACTCCCCCAGGGTGCTCAGGTGAGGGGCAGAGGGTGGCACTGCCCAACCAGTCTGAGCTCACCCCATTGTACTTCCAGGTTGGGGGACAGGCGTCTGCCCTCCTTTGCAGAGCTTTTTGGGGTAGTGGGACCCCAGCTGCAGGACTGGGTGGAGGCTCTGAGGACTGTGGCAGAGGGCAGCCACCTGGTGACAACACAGGACAGGGAGCAGCTCTCCGGGGAGATACAGCTCTTCCTGCAGGTATGTGGGGAGGGACAGGCTGGGAGAACCCCTGTCCTCTTGTGACTGGGCCACCAGGGACCAAACCCCTTCAGTTCCCCTGTGTCTCCTCCTGACATCCCTTGGGTCCCTTGTCCTCTGTGCAGCTGCAGAAGTGGCAATTCTCACTTTGCCACTACAGAAGGGGCATCTCACCTCCCCAGATGAAACCAGTGCTCCGAGTCCAGCCAGTGCAGAGCCAGCCATGGGTCTGACCCTGCAGCTTAGGATCTGACCCAGCACAGCCACAAAGCACTTGCATGTCACCGGTGCCCTGTCTGACACCAGCACACCCATGTCCTTCACTCTGCCACCATGCACATGGCTGTGCTCATGGGTGCCCTGTGGGAGCCCCATCACCCATCCTGTCCCACTCTTCCCTTCATCAGGGTGAGGATGTGGTGGAGGAGATGGTGGCACAGGGACGAGCCTTCCTCACCCAGCTGCGAGCAGAGCTGAACCTTGGCACCACCCTGGAAGCCATGGAGCCACAACGGGCATCTGGAGAGCTGGCAGGGACCCTCGTGCCAAGCCATGAACCCCGTGAGCCTGGAGGGACTGGGACAATGGGACAGCAGGGTGTCCATCCACCGGCCAGTTCTGTGTCCGGCCAGTGCCTGCCAGCGTTTTACACCTCTCTTGGTGGCAGGGAGGGAGAAACGTGAACTGGTGCCCACGGAGCTGCCCAGGGTGGAGGAGGAAGAGGAGGAGGAGGCAGGCGTGGGCAGAGGTAAGCTCCCACACATACCAAGAGGTGCTAGGTATCACCATGGGAACGGTGACAAGCCATGCCTTGCACCCCTGTCGCAGGGCTGTCCCATTTCAGTGGGACAGTCTTTTGCTGTATTCCCCCCTCTGCCCATGCTCCCCAGGTGTCCCCAGAGCAAGGGTGCTCCTCCCTGTGGTGGGCAGCAGCATGGTGCCCTCAGGATTGATCCCTGATGTCCCCTCCATGTCTCTCCTGCCTGTCCCGGGGGCTGCAGCCTGCCCTGGCCTCAATGAGTCGGCAGTGCGGGTGGGCGCGGTGCGGGACCTGTACGCCTGGGTGCTGCGGGTGCCCGAGGCAGACCTGGCCATGACCTTCCAAGAGGTGAGTGCCCCATCCAGCCACTCCCAGCCACACACCCTGGCAGCCAGGCAGTGCCATCCCCCAGCCCACCACCGTCCCACTCTGCCCCCTGGGACTCATGGTGCTGTTGTCTCCCCGCAGATCCTGGTGGACTTGGGCTCCAAAAACACCAAGGGACTGTACCGGGCACAGGTTCGGGCCACTGTAGGGGGCCGTCCCACAGCCTTCACTGGCCTTGTGGGGCTGGAGAGTGACACACTGGCCCGTAGCATGCCTGGCCTCGTCGCTCTGGCACTTGAAGTGCTGAAAACCTAATGGGACAGTGTACCAGCATGGGGAGAGGGCACTGGGGCAGGTGTCCCTTATGTCCTTCAAAAACACTCCACTTCCAGTCTTAGGCTCTTCCACTCCTTTGTCCCCAATTGTACCTCAGTCTCTCTTCCCACCAGCACTTCCTTACTTCCCCAGAGCAATGGGACCCTGGTGGGTACCTGAAGCATCTCAGCCAGGAATGACAGTCCTCCTCTTCCCTGGAACCCCCACCTTTGCAAGCCCACCCTCACCCCATCTTTCCCAGAGGCACCTGAGCTGTTATTTATTTGTACAGAGAAGGTTTATTTTTCAATAAAGAAGGGCTCTATTTTCCAGTAGCTGGTGAATGTGAAGCGAGTGCTGTGCCACACAGTGCAGGAGAAGTGGGTGACAGCGGAGGGACTTTCCAGGGGAGCTATGATATCCCATTGTGTCCCCCTTCCCATTCCCCTTGTACTCTGAAGTGATGCCTCCAGCCTTGGTTCCTGCTGTGCCCACCCTTGCACAGACTCCCCAGCCCCTTCCCCAGGGGTCAGACACCCTCCTGCCCATGCAGCACCCACAGCACAGCACTGGTGCTCACCCTGGTGACACCCCTCGGGGACCCACATGAAACCTCCCGATGCAGGGGCCGAGTGTGCCCAGGGTCACTGGTCAGTGGCGGGTGCCAGCTCTGGGTGCACCCACTGGTGCTTGGGGACCAGTGGGTACCCTGAGGACCCTGCCGTGGGGACCGTGCCACTCTGAGCAGCACCACAGGGGCTGCTGAGCAGCAGGGAAGGGACGGCTGCTCCATGTGCCCAGCAGCGCCTGTGCTGCGGTGCCCAGGCCCAGGGTGATGGGCTGACACCCGTGGGGCCAGCAAGGCCAGCTGTGCCTGCCCATCTCCCCTTCCCTGCACATGGGGGAGCTGGAAGAGAGGGGCTGGAGCAGCTCTCTGGTGCCGGTACCCTTCCCCCTCAGCACCTGGCACCATCCATCTCCCACTCCCTCCGGCAGCCGGACATCCGCTCAGCCAGGCCAGGCAGGGAAGCAGCCAGGGCCTGGCACGGCGTGAGGGCACCGCGGGCACGGCATGGGGAACCTGCTGCAGCAGCTGGCCCTGCTCGGGGCACTGATGCTGTCGGGTGAGCAGGGTCTGGGTCATGGGGTGCCCTGCTGCTCTGCTGCATGGGGTGCCCATGGGGTTATGGGGTTGGTGGGGGATGATGGTGGCAGGGTCCAAACTGGGCACCAGGGTCTCCAGGGCTGCATTTTGGGTATTACCTGGCAGAGTTTGGCTCACTGCATGTCCTTTGTGCTTCCTTCCTGGCTGTGCCACCCAGAGCCATGTCCTTACCCGGGCTATGTGCTGTCAGTGCACAGCGTCATTGTATCCATGTGTCCCTGTGAGTGTCTGCCTGTGCCAAATCTCTGACCATGTGTCCTTGCATGCACTGGGTCCATGTCCATGAGTCCATGTGTGTTCTGTGTGTACAGCCACCTACGTGCACAGTTCCGCCACGTCTGTATCCAAATGTCTCATGCCTGTGTCCCATTCTGTGCTGGGTTTGTGTCTGTGTGTCCCTCTGTGTCTGTGCCCATGTCCTTGTCCCGTGACCATGCGTGACCATGTTCTCCCACGTGTCTGTCATTCCTGCACATCCACGTCTGTTCTCCTGTGCAGCACAGACATGCAGTGTCCTGGCCTGTTCCTCTCCTCTCTATTCTTATACCACCTTGCCGAGCATCCTAGGGGGTGGCACTGGGCCCAGTAACCCCTGAGCCCCCTGGTTTGCCTGACCCCACACCCCCAGGTGGGCTCTGTGTGAACCACGAGGAGCGGCTCATCCACCACCTTTTCGAGGAGAAGGGCTATGACAAAGAGCTGCGCCCTGTGGTCTCCAACGATGAGGTTGTGGACGTCTACCTGGCCCTCACCCTCTCCAACCTAATCTCACTGGTGAGTCCCAGTGGGAGGGCCCACTGTGGGGTGTCCCCCAGCCATGCCTCCCCCCCTAGGGCTGGTTGTGTGTGGGGGAACCCTGAGGCTGCTGTCCCAACCCTGGCTGGCAGGGGTTGGGGGTCCTGGGCTGGGGGGACACCCTGGCCTCTCACTGTCCCATGTTGCTGTTTGCAGAAAGAGGTGGACGAGACGCTCACCACCAACGTATGGCTCGAGCACGTGAGTAGGGACAAGTGTCACAGCATCAGCTGTGCCACCATGGGCTGGCCCAGCATGGTGAGGGAGTGACCTGAGGATCCTCCCCTCCAGGGCTGGACCGATTACCGCCTGCAGTGGAACAAGTCTGAGTTTGGGGGTGTTGAGGTGCTCCGCCTGCCACCAGACATGCTGTGGCTGCCAGAGATTGTCCTGGAGAACAAGTGAGCTGTGCCTTAATTTCCCCTCCCAATCCTTCTGAGCTGTTCCCAGTGCATGTCCAGGACTCCCCTGGCCCCTTCCCAGCCGTGCCGTAACCTTGTCTCCCTCCTGGCCCAGCAATGATGGGCTCTTCGAGGTCGCCTACTACTGCAACGTCCTCATCTACGACACGGGCTACGTCTACTGGCTGCCACCCGCCATCTTCCGCAGCACCTGCCTCATCAACGTGGACTTCTTCCCCTTCGACTGGCAGAACTGCTCCCTCAGATTCAGGTGCTGGGTGGCTGGGTCAGGGCAGCAGCGTGGCCATGTCATGACTGGGTGCCTGCTGCTGCCAGCACCTCCCCTTGCTGTCGAGGTGCAGCAAGATGGGGGTCTGTAGGTGACTTGGTGGCCTAAGTCCATCATGCTGGAGGTCAGGGTGGGCTGGGTGGTGGGTACCCAGCAGCCCCTCACTGTCTGACCCCCTGGCTGTGGTCCAGGTCGCTGGCATACAATGCCCTGGAGATCAACATACACTTGAAGACGGACAGTGACCCAGACACAGGGAGATCTTATCCAGTGGAGTGGATCATCATTGACCCCGAAGGCTTCACAGGTAGTGCTGGTGCTCTCTGTCATGTTCTGTGGCAGTGGGACACCCTGTAACGGTCGGGGGCAGGAGGGGGCATTCTGGAGTGGGGGCAAGCTGCCATGGAGAAACTTCATTACCTGGAGCTTTGGCACCCTGGCACTCATTCCACCTTGGAATGCTATCCACACTCTGAGCGGGGAGACTGATGCTAGTGGACCTGGTGAGGACGGTCATGGCAGGTGTCCCCCATGCTGTGTGCTGTCCCCTGTGCCCTGGCAGAGAATGGGGAATGGGAAATCATCCACCGCCCAGCCCGCAAGAACATCTACCCTGACATTCCCCTGGACACCAGTGAGCACCAGGACATCACATTCTACCTCATCATCAAGCGCAAGCCACTCTTCTATGTCATCAACATCGTCATACCCTGCATCCTCATCGCCTTCATGGTCATCCTCGTCTTCTACCTGCCCGCTGACAGTGAGTGAGCCCTGTGGCATGTGTGCCAGCAATGGGAGTCACATCCATGGGCACCTCAGTGTCCCACACCTGCACCAGGCAACACCCCAATGCCCAACATGAGGATATCCTAGAATTGGAATATCCCCATGTAGAACACCATCACCCCAGCCAGGCATCCTGGCAGAGGTGCACTTGGATACAGGATATCCCATGCGGGACCCCAGGGTACTCCCATAAGAGAAAACTCCTTATGGAGCACTGTATCATGGGACACTGGAAGGGCAACCCTGGCACTGGGGACTCTGCTAGAAGTATCTGGGGCAAGGTTTGCCCTGAGCTCACCTGTTCTCCAGGTGGTGAGAAGATGACCCTGGTAATCTCAGTGCTCCTGGCCCAGTCTGTCTTCCTCCTGCTGATCTCCCAGCGCCTGCCTGCCACTTCCCAGGCCATCCCCCTCATCGGCAAGTGAGTCCTGGGCACCACTGAGTGCAGTGGGGACATTGTGGAGTCCCTTGGTGCCAGAGGGCAGCTCTGCCTGTGCCCAGTCCCTGTGGCAATGCCGGCTCCAAGACCATGCTCCCTGCCAGGTATCTGCTTTTCATCATGCTTCTGGTGACAGCAGTTGTGATCATCTCCGTCGTGGTCCTCAACTTCCACTTCCGCACCCCCAGCACACACGTCATGTCTGACTGGATCAGAGAGGTGAGCGAGGTGTCGGCTGGAGTGGCTGCACTGGTGGGTACAAGGGTCACACTGTACCCCACAGAGGGCACGGGACAGCAGAGCCCTGGCATTGCATCTGGGAAGATGGAGATTGTGGGCAGAAAGTGGGGACAAGGTAGCAACGCACTGGGGAGATGGCCAAGGGACATGACACTCCCTCTTGTGTCCCAGGTCTTCCTGGAGAGCCTACCCCGGCTGCTGGGCATGACACAGCCGGCCGAGAGCCCGGCGGGCGCCCCGTGCATCCGGCGCTGCAGCTCGGCCGGCTACATCGCCAAGGCAGAGGAATACTTCAGTGTCAAGTCCCGCAGCGAGCTCATGTTCGAGAAGCAGTCGGAGCGGCACGGGCTGACCAGCCGCATCACCCCTGCCCGTGAGCCACGGCCCCTCAGCGGGGCAGAGGGAAGGGTGGCGGGGCTGGGGTCTCCAGTGTTGGCAGCCCTTCGGAGCCCATCTCACCACCCCCTCTGATCCCCAGGTTTCGTGCCGCTGGGCATGGACTCAGGCGAGGAGCAGCCCTACGAGCACATCAAACCCGCCATTGACAATGCCAACTACATTGTCAAGCACATGAGGGATGAAAACAGCTACAATGAGGTAGGGCCATGGGCCCTGGGAGGGCAGGGGGAGCTCCCTGTGCCCACTGTGCCCCCACACTGCCTGGCTCCTGGCTCTCTCCACAGGAGATTGACAACTGGAACCGTGTGGCCCGGACCCTGGACCGCCTGTGCTTCTTCCTCATCACCCCCATGCTGGTGGTGGGCACCCTCTGGATCTTCCTCATGGGCATCTACAACCACCCACCACCACTGCCCTTTGCTGGAGACCCCTATGACTACCGGGAGGAGAACAAGCGCTTCATCTAGGGGGCTGTGGGGGTCCCATGTGTCAGCCTCTCCCCCACCTGTCTTGGTTTGGGAAAATAAAGCTTCTTGCTATGGGGCACTGAACTGGTGGCTGCCCTCAGTGTGCCCCAATAGGGAACAATGCCCATCCCGAAGACTCTGTGTGTCCTGGGAAAGGTGATGCCCACCCAGGGAATGGGTGTTGTTGGAGGTCCTGAGTGTGGTGGACCCCAGCTGTGGCCAGAAGGGGTGTGGTGGTACTGGCCCTGCTACCTCTGTGGGCTGGTCACTTGGGGCAGGATGGGCTGGGGAAGGAGCTGGCCCCCCCAGTGTGACAATATCCCCTGCAGACCCACCGCAGATGGCAGAGAT